GCATCCTCAGGCTTAATCTAATTGCTAAGTCTGTTGACCAAAGGCTTCCGGTTTTGGCTATGGCTCTCAATATGTTTCAGATAAGAAAGTGTTTTGGTAACACTTATTTACATGCTTCACTTAGCTAATAAAAAGGGAAAGTACATCTACATGGAAACTGTGTGGTGTTATAGGTGTTTTACTTATTTTCAACTGAACGTTTTAAATATTCAGAATGTATATCACTTGTATTTTTAAAGAAGTTATTTAGAAAAAAACTTATTAATAGACCTTTATTAATTCATTAATTTAATCTCTGAGGGAAAAATATATAACACATATATTTTCCTAGAGTAACTATGTGTTATTGGGGTACACTTATGCTGAGGATCAGAGAGATTTGGAAAAAAATAAACAAAAGCCCAGCTACCTAAAATAATGTCCAAGAATCTGGCAGTGCTGGGTGCAGTGGGAATTTCTCAAAAAAGGAAGATTTCCTGGGTGGGGTTAAGAGTTCACAAAGCAAGAGTTAAATAGTCTTAAAAAAAAATAAAAAATACTTGCAAAAATTGAGAAAGCTAATAATCTTAAAAGATTGTCTGACAGTATAGTCTCTGGGAAGTCCTCCCCCTCCGCCCCGGCTTGTTTTGTTACTGCTGACCTCCTTCACTCCCCTCCCTTCCCCCCCGCAAAAAAACCTCAGCCTATAAATTTCTCTTTTATCTTTTAAAAAAAAGAACAGGCTATAAAAAACTCTCTCTCTAAACAATTGGTTTTTATTCATCAACTGTCCCCTCTCTTCCTCTGCTTTCATCTAAGTTTCTCAGAGGCCTGGTCTGTACTCACTGCCTTCACTTATTTCCCTAGTTTTGTATATGGTTTCCACTCACTTGTCTGTACTACCCGAAGGTGAACAAACTACTAATTGCCCAGGAGTTTTAAAACTCTCAAGATTTTTGACTTCTTGATGTTCTACATAAAGATTGGTAACTCCCCTCCTGGCACACTGTTCACAGTGATCTATCAAAATTTGTCTTACTCTTACCTCCATAGGATAAGTTGAACCTGAGCAAGGTCAATCATAAGCTGACTCTACCGACCACCCTACAGTCCAATATCCTGCCACTTCTGGTCCCCCAACAAGTAATTTGTATTGTAGCAACATTGCTCAGTAGCTAGTGTTTCAGGTGCCTTGTGCCTCTTCCCGTTCCGTCCTTTCCGGGGCCTGAAATGCTCTCTGCACCGTTAGCCTGATCATCACCTTTCAGAATGGCCCCAGTTTCACCTACTTCCTTCATCCTATTTCCAAAGTCAAGTTTGAATTCACTATTTCTGTGTGGTTTATTTCAGGTAGGTGGTATTTCCATGTATTTCCTTCTAGATTGCCGATATCCTTCGGGCAGAATTTGGGTTTTGCTCATTCGCACTTGTTCAGTGCGCAGCACAATGTTTGGCACAGGTGTTCTGTGTTGGGAACAGAACTACTGAGGCTGTGAACCCCATGAGGACATTCATTTTATGAGTACGCAAGTGGGAAAATAAGCCTAATTGATAAGGTGCAAAAAAGAGATGGCAGAATTAGCTAAATAGGTTTCCCTCTTCATTTTTATTAAACAAGTGGTAAAGAGGTTTTTATTCTTAGATTGTCTTGTAAAGGAAATAGGCCCCTACATGGAGGAAAATGACTAGCATGAAATGTCATCTGAGCAAAGGAACCTACCGGTGAAATGGTAGTGTCTTTATCCAAAGTGTTTAACTTAAGTTTTGTTTTCAAATATAAGGTAGAAAAATATCGGCAGATGGCTTCACAAGTGTAGTTTTTTCTGCCCTTGTCTGATGAATAGATGAGATTGGGTAATTGTATATAAATGGGTCCATGTCACATGCCTGAACATTTGGCATTTTTTCCATAAATAATTGCAAAGAATGAGGCATTTAAAAATACTTTGACACATTTGTAGATCATTTCCAGACATATCACTGAAAAATGTTTTATATTTTGAAAAGATAATTAGGAGAAAACAATGATGCATGCGTCTGCTGGCTTCAGGTGGGTCAGGCGGGTGAACAGCAAAAAAGCAAGTCTCCTTTCCACCCTGCTCCTTACTTCTCTCTCTGGGTCAACTGCAGGCACAGCTTTCGCTGCTGTCTGTATTCTCCTGGACGTAGTGTATGCGTATATAACCAGATAAACTGTTCCCGTAAGATTTAAAAGGTAGGTTTCTGGAGTCTGTGGGGTATTATCTGTATTTTTTGGAACTCATGACTGAGGCTTGTAGTATTCACACATTGTCAAGTATGGTACTCTACTATAAAGTTTGTGGGGGTGTGAGGTACACACTGACCTTTTATACCAGCATAAGGATACATTTTGTGCTAGTGGTCAGACTGGCCTATTTTCTATTTTCAGTTGCATTGAGTTTCATACTAATTTTTACCTAGCCCTTTGGGGACAAAAAGTACAAATTGTCTGATAGCAGCTGAAGGGTACTTAGGTGACTGGATATTCTGTTCGGATATTAATCTATTGGGCAAAAGTATCCTACCACCTTATCCAACCTGCACTTTATCCTGACTTTCTCCAAGCACTTTACAAGAACATAGTGTAGTTAGGATTTGAAACACAAAGGATTTGAAATTTTCACAGGCGCACTCCACAACTTGATAATGGAACCAAGCGACATCACCCAAGATTCCTGGCTCCCTGACTTTAAGCAATTTAGAACAGTTTTACAAATGCATTAGCACTGTGCCAATTGTAGAGGTAGTCAGATGTAATTTGACACTTTTTTTTTTCTCCAGAAAGTCATAGATTACCCTCCTACCCCCAAAAAACCTTTTCAAAGGCTCCACTTAAAGATCTTTTTTCCATCCTCTATTTCCTCACTTTTCAATCTGTTTGGTTTTCCATTTTCCTTTCCCACCTGCTGTTCCTTCTCAAACTGTCTCAGCAGATGTTGAGTAGATTTGTTACTGATTCATTTTGCAATCTTAATGTTCTAATTCAAAACTCATGTATTAATGTGTACACTATCTACATTCCTGGAAAGCTTTTTCAGCAGCCTATCCTGGAAAATGACCAGTGAAGGCGCCTGGCATTGCTTTTAAGTCTTTGGTGGGTGGGGAGGGGGAAAAGAAAAAAGCCCCAGACTATCTGGAAGAGTTGCTAATGCCTGTGGCCACAAGGAGTAACTTTTTATGTTCCCTGTTTCCTTGCTCACTAGGACTATTTTACCATCCCTTGGTTGTCTCCATCATAAGTTGTATATAAGAGTATTGCTCTCAAATTGCATAGCTTTAAATATAAGGGATTCTGAAGCTCCCAGTTAGAAGATGCTGTTTAAATTCGGTGACTATTGTTTTGACACTGACAGTTCAGCAGCCCCCACACACCCTCTTTATTCTTTTTGAACTGCCAGTTGCATGGAAAATAGCAATGTGCTTCTTTGACTTTTTGTTAAACCGTTTCTAAAAATTTTCCTGGCATTTGCTTGAGACCAGTCTGTAATGAGAGTAATAGTGCTGACACAGCATGTGCTCCACATTGCCGTTGCTTGTGGTGATAGATATACATTAAAAAAAGAGCCTTTCAACCTGAAGTTCCTGAAGGGCAGGCGAATGCTTGGCAGTTCAATGCTCGGCAGTTCAATTTTGACACAGTGCTGGGATAGAGGACACCTGCAGACAGTTACCCCCTCCGTGTGGAGAGAAAGGACAAACTGTCTTCTACTAAAGCAGGCCCTGTCCCTCAGCTCACTAGTGAGGATCCTGATGGAGGGCAGCCCTCTCTTCTCAAGGCGACTTGTGATAGAATCACTATGGAATGGATTCCATAATCTAACCTTTGGTAAATTGTACAGATAAAACTTTGGTTCATTAAGTGGACAGGTATTTTTACTGACACAAAAACAGACACATAGATCAAGGAACTGAATAGAGAGCCCAGAAATAAACCCATGCCTAAATGGTCAGTTAATCTACAACAAAAGAGACACAAATATCAATAGGGTAAAGGCAGTCTCCTCAATAAATGGTGTTGGGAAAACCGGACACATGCAAAACAATGAAACTAGACCAATTGGAGACTGAAATTTAAGACCAGAAACCATAAAACTCGTAGAAGAAAATTTGGGCAATAAATTCATAGCAGTCTTAGCAGTGTTTTTTGTTTTGTTTTGTTTTGTTTTTTGATGTGTCGTCTTGGTTAAAAGCAAAAAAAGCAAAAATAAACAAATCGGGCAAAGAGCACACTCTGGCTCTCTTTCAAGGATGGTGTCCAGAGTGGCCATAGAATAATTTTTTTCTGTCTCATCAACTAGAACTTAGTCATATACTCATTCCTAAATATAACTAGCTATGTACACAGGTAAAAATTAAATCACTGTGGAAGAAGAGGAGAATGTATTTTGAGGGACAGACATGAAAGGATTTGTTCAATCTCTTTAGTCTGATGTTTAGTCTGTACCTTTCCGTTTAGTCCTGTTGTCATGTTACCACGTGAACCCCATGCACCCGCCCGAAGTCGTCTTGTGACCCTGGGGTGAAAGGGACTGCCTCCTCTTCTAAAGCACATAGCACTTTTAATCTGTCTTGTAATTACCATGTGCTGGACTGTGCTGCTGTCATTCGTCGGCATATGGCCTCCCTGAAGTCATAAGGTCTCACCACAGTGTAAACGCTTGTGGTGACTATATCTTATGTATCTGTAATACCTTGCCAAGCGCCTTATAAATAATTGGATAATTAAATAAATTATAAATAAAAAAGATCTTTATTTTTTGAGAGAGGAAGGAAGGGAGAAAGGGAGGGAGAGAGACATCGGTTGCCTCTCACACGTGTCCCCAACTAGGGACCTGGCCTGCAATCCAGGCCTGTACTCTTACTGGAAATGAAACCAGCAACCCTTCTACCCAATCCGCAGAGCCACACCAGTCAGGTCAATAATTGGTTCTTAATAAATATTTCTTATATTGGAAAATAAATAATCTTGATGACTTCTTGGTTTCTTGTATAATTTTCAGGAAAGGAAGATGGAGCAACCTAGTGGGAGGAGTTTTATGCAAGTGTTATGTGAAAAATATAGTCCTGAAAATTTTCCTTACCGCCGTGGTCCTGGCGTGGGAGTCCACGTCCCAGCTACACCTCAGGGCTCTCCTATGAAAGGTAAGAAAGATGGGACCTACAGCATTTGTTTGCTGGAGCTTACTTAGGACATTAAACCAGAATAGTGCCTTCTTTGCAAATGATTTTCTTTATTTTGAATTAGGAGTCAAATGGTCTTTCTCCCTTGCCATGATTTCAGTTTTTTGAAAATCATGAAAGGACCTGTTTTGCTTCTGATTCGCCAAAAAGCATTTTATTTATTTATTTTTAGAGAGAGCAAAAAGGAGGAAGGAGAAGGAGAGATACATTGATATGAGAGAAAAACATTGATCAGTTGCCTCTTGTAAGAGGGCCCTGACCTGGGACCCAACCTGCAGCCCAGGCATGTGCCCTGACTGGGAATTGAACCAGTGACCTTTCACTTTGTAGGACAACGTCCAGCCAAATGAGCCACACTGGTGAGGGCATGGCCAAAAGGCATTTTAGCTGCACTCGTAGGGCAGGAACAATTTGAGTGATCATGTTTCAAGTACATATTCTTTCAAGGAAATAGTAGGCTGCAAGATACTATAAAACTGTACTGTACCCTCAATGGCCTAACAGCCCAATTGGACTACAAGATAGTCACATTTACAAAAATACGAAACCAGATAGTTTACTTTGAGCCAAATGAATGGCATAGTGATTGGGAAAGAAGTTTAGAAGAGAGTTAATAAATATTATCAGAAAAGGGTTCAAAGCTGTGAGACTTGAACTAACCCTTCAAGAATGTAAAATCTGGTTAGAGAGGAGATAAAGACTTCCTAAAAAAGGGAATACATGTGAGCAGAGATCTACAGCTAGAAGGGTGCATGTTGTGTTTTGTGCTTGCCATTTTAGCGTAATGTTGTAATTACCATTAAGTTCTTCATAATTATGGGAGATGATTATTGAGCAGTGTCTTAGTTCCTATGTCTGAAGATTACTGAGCGTTTTATTTCTTGGTACAGCTGTCGTAGCACTCCATGGAAACGAGTGACAGGAGGAAGTGGGCTTCTTACTTGGTCATTGTTTTTCAGGATCCATTCTCATTCTGAATAAACCAATACTGATAGGTACTAAGTTTGAAAAAATCATGTAATTTGAGGCCTGCACTAATAAATATTACCTTTGCGAGTCCTTGTTTTTTACCAAATAGGGAAAGCATGATTGAATTCTCATGTTTATCCTTTTTATTAGAGATGGTAAGTGATTTTATTGACACATGTAGAACAGAAATAGTATAACAGAGACTATCTTCAATGGTTTGAGATAATTTTGAAAGGCAGTAAAAGGTAAAAATACATACCAGACAGAGAGAAAAGAGCTATCCAGAATGATACTTTTGAACTAAATTTTTAAAAAGGAAAGAATCAGGGCCAACAAGAAGATAACGGCAGTCAGACATGCGTCACGTGAACCTGGTGTTCAGATGACGGTGGTAGCGTGGACAGAGCGTACACAATCCCGGTGGGAGGTAAAGCCGCCAGCACGTTTTTGGTGGTTCCAGTCCAGTTCTTCCCATCTCCTCCTGGTTCATTTTTGAACCAGACTATCTCCTGGTTCACATTTGACTATCTCCACTTAGAATTCAGAACTCTTGGGTCCCCTCATAGCCTGTATTTTCTAGGTCCTTGTGCATTTTCCCACAATTTGATTTTGATTCCTGGGGCCAAACGTGTGTAGACAAGAATTAGGTTGACACAGAAAGTGTTGTGTTTCCTGTGATTCAGACCGCCTCAACCTCCCAAGCGTCCTGGTGTTGAACAGCTGCGGGATCACCTGTGCGGGAGATGAGAAGGAAATTGCCGCCTTCTGTGCTCATGTGTCAGAACTAGATCTTTCTGACAACAAACTCGAAGACTGGCATGAGGTAAAGTTTGATAGGGCTGCATTTCGATGAAATGTAGCTAAAATCATTGTATTGTTTATGTTGTGAAGTATTCTGCTGAATTCGCCTCTCACTTGAGACTCTTGTCTGTATGTCTCAAGATAACTAACTGCTTCAGCTGTTCTTATGGTAATTTTTCAGTTGACTTGATTTTTGCTAAGTTGCTTTTTATTAATGTGAAAAGCACTGAGGAACTTTATTCCAGGTATCAAAAGGTTAGTAAGCCTACAGATGTTTAGACTGCTAGCAATGCATTAAATTTTCTACTATTTTCACTAGTTTATACATCCTATACTTATTCTCTACTACTACTTCAACATTTATTACTATAAATTTATATAAAAATTGCTTGAGGTTGAAACTAAAATTCTAAAAATATTCTCTTTACTGAAATTTATTACAAATATTTTAGAACTTTTTTTTATTGTCTCTCTGGTGATTTAACATAACTGATGTCTTTTGATGTCAGAGTAACTCTAAACCAAGTACACAAATAAAAATATTATAACACTCTTTCATGTTATTATACATATTATTACCTATCTGATTATAACATTGTCTAATAGGAGTTATCCTTAAGAATAAGGAAAAAATAGCCTTTCCTACTTGATTTCTTCTCCTGCCATAATTTAGTCTCTTATTTCTTGCCTGGAAAGCTTGCTAATAGGTTATAGTGCCTCAGTTTTATTTTGCTTCCTCTAAGCTTGTCCCTCTAAGTGAGTAAATGGAATGTGGTTGACACCCTCCTGTTTGAAGTCCTTTACCTGTGTTGTACTGCGCGGAAGCGGAAGGCTGAACTCTAGGTGTGGCTCCAGTCACAGGGCCCTTTGCCGTTCCGGGAGCTCTGTCTTCATCTTGAGTCCATGCTTTTTCTTACAGCTCACGATAAACTCTGGACACAAGAAGCTTCTTTGCTTTTAATTCATTCTGAATCTATTGCCGTCTTCCTGTGTCTTTCAAAACTTGGCCCAGGCGGCTGTTGCTCTGTGAGACTTTCCGCGCTGTCACTCGTGTGGAGCCAGACCGCCCAGTGCCCGCATCATGCTGCTGTGAAAGGCGCCATCGCAGTGGGCTGCAGTCACTTGTGCACTTGACATTTTCCAACTAGACTGAGCTTATTCAGAGTAGAGATTTTGTCTTTTCATCGTCAGTACCAGTGTACTAGGCACCCAAATGTTTGTTGAATTCATTAATGAATAAATGATTGTCTCTTAAGGGTTGATCAAAACAACTGCTTCAGCTCTTCTTGTGATCTTAGGAAATCGACTTAGTAGTGCCTTTGTTTGCTCATCTGTAAGATTAAATTAATCATTGCAACACTCTGTAGATGGTAAATGTTATACAAATTCTAAAACAGCTTTCTTCTTTAAGAAAAATCTATCTGTACCTAGTTTTCTTCAGCTTTTCATATATTTATTTATTTTATAGTCTTTTAATCTGGTAATTGTGCTCCCAGTTATAGTTCCTGTCTCTGTTAAGATGTTTACCAGAATCCTTTGAGAGGCATGTCACTTGATTTCTAAGTGACATGTAATTGTGTGTGTGTGTGTGTGTGCGCGCGCGCAGATTCATTAGGCTGTTCAACAAAAAAGACACCCCTATTTGTACATGTATTTATTGATACACTTATTTAAACAACTAGTATAGTTCACTTTTTAGTAAATTATGATATGTCTTTAACAAATTCCTTTTTTTGTCCTTCGAGGTGCATGATTGACATGCCTCTCTCTACACTGCACAGATGCAGAAACTCCTTGTCAACCCTCTTCCCCCACGGTTTCCACTGTCATCCTACTGCTGAGCCTCTGGTGACCTTTCTGATGTGCATGGTGACAAGTCAGACCAAATCTTCTGAATCACTTCAGCTCCTATGTTTGCATGCTGATTTTCCTAAATTAGTTTCTTTGGGAGTATAAAATTATACAAAGGTGGTGTGCTTTGTGCTTTGACCGGTGTTTTGACCATGTACGTAAGTTTTGCTTCCTGGCAGGAATAGTTTAACAGTTATGTGCCTTACTATAGCTACCTCAGAAGAACAATTTATGTCATTATGGACCAGGACACAGTTTACACCAAGTAATTCAGCCTTTCCTCTGCTTAGACAAGGATCTTCACTTATTTTTCAGACCACAGTGGCATATATAGCCAGAAGGTCACGTTTAATTGTGCTCTGTTTAGTCTGTGTGTTCCTATATGTATGTGCTCTATAATTTGTTTTCAGATCAATGTTTGTTGCTGCTGCCCTTCAGGTTTCTCTTTTCCAGTTTATTTTCGTTTTCATCATTGCTTTATGTTTTGTCCTTAGCTTTAAATGTAGTTTGTCCCAGTCTTCTAGAATATATATCAGAACACAGATAGATGCTAGAAGTACTGACGGCAAAAGAATATTGATTTTTAGGATTGATTAAACCCTTTGCCAGGTTACAAAAGCCTCATAGGTCACAGTTTTAAGACATTACATTTCAACCCCATGGCAGCCATATATGTGATTACCAAAAGGATCATTTGTCTCTGTCTATTAACTAAGTTTATTCAGGCAGTATTTGATATAGCGATGTGGAACAAAATCATATCATTTGTTCTTTTAGTGTTTCGAGTGATCACTGATGCTATGAGGAACTTCCGTTGTAGTTGAAACTGCTGGCTGCTGTATGTCCAGAGACAAAGATAAATATGAGTAGGAAGCAAAATACTTTGGGGGAAAACAAAGATTTGTCTCTGTCCTTCTAAAATTGGTCATCTTTGTATTTTAAAAAAAAAGATTCCTTTTTTCAGCTTTTGACTTGAATTTTTGTCTAACTAGATTTCAGTCTGATCTTTCCCAAGGTATATCCTTTTTTTCTGCCTTTCTTATCGGAACCATTTTATAAAAGAAATTAAAGCAAGTACCTGAAAGATGGAGGGATTAGTTACAAAAGTGAGATAGAGAATAGTTGGATATAAATTACAGATTGTTGTCTTGCAGTGCTTTTCCCATTTTTCTTCAAACTATAATTTATTTCTGTTTAGAAGCCAGAGTAGCAGGTCCTCTATGAAATCGTACAATCGTGGGGACTCAAAAGGAGATCTCAGTTCATCTCCAGGTCTCTGCCCATGAAGGTCTTCAGCTCACTCCAGCTAAAGGAGGTTTTTTTGTTTGTTAGTTTTTTAGAATTTAAAAAAGAAAAGTAATCATATTGCCCTAGAAGCTTATTGACTATTTGCCAGTCTTTGCAATTAGGACATTTTTCTGTCATAAATAAATTTGCTTATATAATGAATATTATATTTTTCAGAATCTTATTAATTTAAGGTTACCCTAAAATTCTTTATAATTCCACCTTTTAAAGAAAATATTTATTTCTAACGTGTATTATTTTTCCTGCTTTAATTATTAGACAATGTCCAGTTTTCCTTTTTGGAATATTCCAGGGCTAATAAGTCATTATTCTAAAACTTCATTCTCATTGGACAGTAGTGTAGATGAAGACTATGAAAAAGATTACATCAGTATCTGTTAGCTTTGGGAATTCTCCCAGAAATAGCTTCAAAAACACTTGAATTACCAATTTTTAAAAAAATTTTAGTTATTGATTTTTTTGGAGGGGAAAAGGAGGAGAAGGGGAGAGAGAGAGAGAGAAAGAAATATCAGTTTGTTGTTTTCACTTACTTAAGCATTCATTGTTGGCTCCTTGTATGTGCCTGTACTGGGGATCGAACTTGCAACTTTGGCATATTGGAACTGTGCTTTAACCAGTTGAGCTATCTGGCCAGCATAAATTATTGATTTTTGAGTATTTTGCTCTTTATTACAAAAATAAAATATGGGGGTGTTAGTAAAGGATAATCTTTTATTTAACTAAGGCTGTACCTATAATTAGCAGTTATTCTACATGTTGTAGTTGAAGCACGATTCTTCTTCATCTTTTTTTGCCCTTACAAGAGACAAACATAGATGGTTATCACCTTCTTTATGAAATTCCTTCATACCATTCGTGTTCAGATGGTGGAATACAGTAGAGGGTGCACCCAGCGTGGACCCCTGAGCTGTGGTGTGGCCACAAACCCAACTGCAGATCCAAGTCATGTATCACACAAATGCTTGATGAAGCAGGAGAATAGTGTACAGACTCGTGTAAATCCCTTACACAGTAAACTGAAGCCTAGTATACTTTCCCTAAAAGATAGCCAGTTTCTTCATTTGTGAAGTGAGGGTAAAAATGGTTTCACCTTGAAGAGTTTGCATGAAGAATGGATGAAATAACATATGTGAGGACCATTCCCTCTGACATACTTCTCTGAACCTTCTTGGAATTCATCTACTTCTCACTGATTTTAGAGTTTCTGAACTATACAGTACACAGCAAATCCGATATAAAGTACAGATTGCTTTTTCTTTCTACCCATAGTTCTCAACACTGAACACCTTTTTAACGTTGCCTGTGGAGCTCTGAAAAGAACCAGGTATCCGAGTGTCGCCATGAAGCTCGCCCTACATGTGTAGCTCCTGAGTCAGTCGTTTAGAGTAGATCCTGGAAATCAGTATTTTTGGAACTTGTACCCCTGATTTTAAATATGACATTTAAATACAATAAATATGACATGACATATAGCCAGGATTGAGGTACTGGCTCATACTAAACTCCTATTAGCAATAGTTGTGTTTATTGAGTGATTTTGTACTCTTAATTTATTCAACAGACACTAAGTGCCCCTACGCAGTAGTGAGCTAAGTGAGTACTATCCCGGCTTTCATGGAGTTTACATCCTTTTGGGGAATGGGTAAGGAAACAAGTTTCTAAAAGATGAGCCAAGCACTGTGTTAACTGCTTTACACATATATCTCACTTAACTCTACCAACAATTCTGTGAAATAGATGGGTACTATTTTCTCTGTGTTCCAAATGAGGAGACTGAGATATGAGAAAGTTAAGAAAGTAGTCAAACCACACAACCAAAAGTGTTGGAACCTGGTTCGAATACAGGTTTTCTAACTTGAAAACCATTGCAAACTATTCTGTTGTGCTCCTTTTCTCATAACTTTTAGTTGCCACATTAATGTTTAATGCGTTGGCTGAACTTCTAGTATTTATTTTATATTATCAGCTTTGTTCTTGTTTTTTTCTGGGGACAGTTACAGTTTACTGGTGTGACACAGTCATCCCCCTTTATCCATGGAGTACACATTCCAGACCCCCGGGGGTGCCTGAAGCCACTGATAGTCTCCAACCCCATGCAGACCGTGTTTTCTTGTCTGCACATACACACACTTGATGGCTTCCCTTCATCATATCAAAATTGCCAGCATCACTGCTCTTGTGCTTTGGGCATTATTATTAAGTAACAGAAGGATTACTTCTAAGCGCCGACCTGATCACCAAGGTGGTTAGTAAGTAACGAGCGAATGGGTGGTGGCAGGGCGTGTGTTCAGCATGGACACACTGGGCAAAGGGGTGGTTCCGTCCTGGGTGGGCAGCAGCGGCACCGAGCGGGACTCCCGGGTGCCTGGTTTGAAACTTACGGCTGCTCTGTTTGTGGAATTTTCCGTTTGGTAGTTCCAGACTAGGATTGACCGTGGGTGACTGGAGCCGTGGAAAGTCAGGCTACAGGTCGGGGCTGGGGGCTGCTATACGTTGGGAAGAACAATGGCTCTGATTTTTGAATTCTTGATTGGGCTTTCGTGACTCTTGAGACTGTATTTAACATAAGATGTTAATTATTTAACATCTCTGACTCAGTGTCTTTATTTTTTAAAATGAAAATAGTTTTAGTTATCTTGCAGGTTGCTTTGTGAATATAGTGAAATGATGTCAAGGAGACTAGAACTATCCAAAGCAAATAGCTAAGGTCAATAATGCTTAGTTCCTTTTAAAAAATGTTTTTTTCTACCAAATTCCTTGCTAAACCACTAAATTGATGATCATATTTTATTAGATAGTAGTGGATGCTCTTTAATATTTTTAGCCAATATAGTTTAAAGTTTAGTACATCTTCGAGCCAAAGCTGAAACTTTTCTAAGTGATTGTGGCTGTTATGTAGTCAGTTTTGAACACCTGAATTGTTACTTTGTGACCTTCAGTAAAGTTTTAATTAGCTTTAACGTTGTAATGAGGATGGAAGGAGCTATTCAAAGAGGATTACATGACCCAATCTCAGCTCTTTCAAAATTTGTAGCCTAAAATGTCACCTAAACTCTCTTTTCTCCATTTATCAGAGAGAATATCACATAGAACAGAATCAAAAACCATGCCAAAGGCAACAAGGGAAATCTTGTTTGTACCATTACTTTCCAGTTATGACATTATTTCATAGAGAAAGATTAAGTTATTTGCCGAGACTTGTTGAAATTATTCAGGCCCCTCTGTGGCCACTATCACTAAATAGGACTCCCTAATGTGGGCTGCCTTTTGCCTGCAGACCCCTCACTTAGGCTTTTGTGAGCATGATTGCTATTAACAGCCTCTGATTACTGCCTGATATGCTTTTCTTTTTTCTCCCTAGGTCAGTAAAATTGTGTCAAATGTTCCCCAGTTGGAGTTTCTAAACCTGAGTTCCAACCCTCTGAATTTGTCGGTTTTAGAAAGAACGTGTGCTGGGTCCTTCTCTGGGGTTCGCAAACTTGTCCTCAATAACAGCAAAGCTTCCTGGGAGACAGTCCACACTATACTGCAGGAGTTACCAGAGTAAGCCCAGAGAGCGTGATGGAGGGGTTGTGTGCTCATCCGTGTTGGCACATAGAGTTACTGCTGCTCTCCCCCCGCAGAAATACTAGAGCTGCAGATATGATGGAGAAAGGTTATAGAAATGAAGTAATTACAATGAGGGCGTGACTGTAACTTAGAAGCATTTTTATTGGAATGCTTGTTCAGTGTTGAGTAACACCATGACATAGGATATGTTATTCTTTGGCTAGAAAATATCCCTGAGAAGCACATATCATTCTAGATCAACCCAGCCTTTCTCCCTCCTAATCTTCGGATTACCTGATTTCAGAATTTTGCCTCAACCCTTTTCTTTAGGGGGAAAAAACATCAGTGTCTCTAAAATATATTAACACTGAGATGATTAAGTACATAGCTGGCCTCATTTGGAAATGAACCTGGTGTTCTTTTCAGTAACTTAAGCAAGAAATTATACTTTTTTCAGTTTAGAAATGTCTTGTTTGTATCTATCTTTGAATATGCATAAATGTTCAAAGGAAATAATTTAAAGAAATATATGAAGCTGTAGTTTCTTTGACTGTATAAATACGAACATTTTCAAAGCCTTGCAGAATTTGGTCTCACTCTCCTTAATCCATCTCAGTTTCTCACTATCTCTCTAAGCAGGTGGGTCTCCTCGCAGCCTGCAGCCTGCAGCCTGCAGCCTGCAGCCTGCAACATCTCGCATGCATAGATCTTTGAGATCCCAGTTCCACTTCCTAGTCACATGACCTTTGATAAGCTAATTAACCCCTTTGAGCTCTATCTCCTTATTTATAAAATGGGCATAACTATATCTACCTTGCAGAGATAGAAGTACAGCGTGTAAAGCACCTGGCACAGGGCCTGACACATGGTAGGAATTCAATAAACAGTAGTTACTGTTTTATTCCAAACATTTCTTCCTGTTGTTTCTGGAATTTTATTCCATCTCTTCTCAACTTATGCCCCTTCTTCAAGGTCAAGCATCCTTTCCTGATTATACTAACTGCAATTGTAATTCCATTCCTATATGAAACACTGTTGTACTTACAGCTAGTACTGCTTAATTAAGCACAAAAGTAATGTAGTACTGGGCTGTATCTTCTCTGCTATATTCCCAGCTGTATTTTAAGCTTCAGGAAGACATTTTTATATTTTTTCTACAATACCTAGGAGAGACTCACACGTAGTAGGCACTTATTTATCTCTTGGATAAATGAAAGTAGGTGCAAAGTAGAAAATGAACTGCTTTACGCAATGAAATCTTTCCTTTTTTTCTTTGCAGTTTGGAGGAGCTCTTCCTGTGCCTTAATGACTATGAAACAGTGTCTTGTCCTTCTATTTGCTGTCATTCTCTGAAGCTCCTGCACATAACAGACAATAACCTCCAAGACTGGACTGAAATACGAAAGTTAGGAGTTATGTTTCCTTCACTAGATACCCTCGTCCTGGCCAACAATCACTTGAATGCTATTGAGGAGCCTGATGATTCTTTGGCCAGGTTGTTCCCTAATCTGCGATCCATCAGCCTCCACAAGTCAGGTGAGGTGTAGGCTTGTTCTCATTCTACGTGCAAATTGATATGCACTTATGCATGAATACAGTGAAAAGTATATTCCTTTGTCAGGTCTGCCTTCTTATAGGATGCATTTTCAAGAGCAACATGCGGCTGCCTATTGATTATCTGGATTTAACATTCATTTTCATAAATCAAGTGGCATAGCATTACATTAGCTATATACATGTTATATAGTAAAGGGGCGAATTTATATATTTCATCTATATAAAATTGTATATGAAAGAAGTGAAATTAATGAATAGTAAAAGGCAGAGTAAAAAAGAATATAAGGAATTACAAATTAGACCACTTTGTCTGGATTTAGGTTCGGGAATCCCAATCTGCTATGCATTCCAAATGCTCTTTTCTGTTTTGCCGTACTTACATATAATCGATTTCCAGTTTGTTGCCATCTACTTCTGTGTATCATGGGAGTGAATATTTTTAGCCTTTTTTTAAAAGAAATTAATAAAATTTATTTTTTAGAAAAGTTTTAGATTCACAGCAAAATTGAGCAGAAAGTTCCCGCACGCTCCCTGCCTCCAAGCCTGCACCACCTCCCCTACCATCAACGTGGCAGCACCAGAGCGATACGTTTGTCACAATTGAACCTGCCTTGACACATCATCATCACCCAAAGTCCATAGTTTACATGAAGGTCTACTCTTGGTGGTGTTCATTTTAAGGGTTTGGAAAATTTACAATGACACGTGTCTACCACTGTAGTCTGGTATGTAGTAGTTTCCCAGCTCCAGCAACCCCCTGTGCTCCACCGGCATATTCCTCCCGAATCCCTGGCAACCAGGGATCTTTTTCTGTCTCCATAGTTTTGCATTCTCCAGCTATCATGTAGTTGGAATCACCCAGTAGCCTTTTCAGATTAGTTTCTTTCACTTAATAATGTACACTTAAGTTTCTTTTATGTGTTTTCATGGCTTGATAGCTTATTTCTTTATAGCACTTAGATTCTCTAAGGCTCAACACATGCTAGTCCGTTGTCTGAATGGACCGCAGTTTATCCACTCACAAACTGAAGGACATCTTGGTTGTTTCCAAGTTTTGGCAGTTATGAATAAAGCTGCTGTAAATCTCCACGTGCAGGTTTTTGTGTAGACATAGTTTCAGTTCCTTTGGGTAAATACCAAGGAAGGTAATTGCTAGATCATATGGTAAGAATATGTGTAGTTTTGTAAAAAACTGCCAAACTGTCTTCCAAAGTAGCTGTAACATTTTTTCACCCCCCACCCCCCATCAATGAATGAGAGGTCCTGTTGCTTCACATCCTTGTCAGCATTTGGTGTTATTCTTTTGGATTTTGGCAATTTTAATAGGTATGTAGTGGTATCTCATTGCTGATTTAATTTGCAATTCCCTCATGACATAGCACGCTGAGTATCTTTATATACTTACTTGCCATCTATGTATCTCCTTTAGTGAGGTGTCTGTTCAGGTCTTTTGCCCATTGTTTAATTAGGATGTTCATTCTTTTTTTGTGGTGTTTTAAAGAGTTCTTTGTGTTTTTTGGATAACAATCTTTCATCAGTTGTGTCTTTAGCACACACATTCTCCCAATGTGTGGTTTTTCTTCTCATTCTCTTGACATTGTGTTTCAGCCTTTTTTTTTTTAAAACAACTACATAACTAAAAATAACTAACCTACGGCTGAAAAAAACAATTGAATTTGCTGTAGAGGTTATAAGGATGGGAACTGAATTTGAAAAACTAGCATTTGGCATAAGGAAGCTATTTGTTGCATAACTCGACACCTCGTGAGCTAACTCTATTCTTCCTCCCAGGTGGGGATGCCCTTCTGAAGGGATGGGGACAGTTGTGATTTGGGTTAGTTACACGGCAGAGTCCTCATAAATTGCTCCTCCGCCTTCGCCGTTGTTGAAGGCGGCTCAAACTAGAAAGGGGCCGCACTCTGCAACAGGGATGTAACATGCCGTGAGATTGACCAGCATCGTCATCGCAGGAATATTGTTCCTACCAGTGTCAAGTATTGACTTGCATGATACATTTGTCCGCAGCCATAGGAAGAGTGTTGTTTTAGGACTAAATGAACTTAATTTGTTGCATGTTCTTTTTGCTTAAACATTCAGGTTTTTTGTTGTAAATGTCTTGAATCTGTTTTCCCTGCCTCCAAAATGAGGATGGTATGAAAGATAATATTTAGTTTCTGGTTCTGTTGACTTTGCCCCATTTTAGAATTTGGTAAAAATTTGAGTCTGACAGTATCAACTCTGATCGGTAGTTATGTTCTATGAGTCTGTAATTTGATGAAAGGGTTGATCACATCACTTATTTTCTGTGATCATGACATACATCCTGCTTATTGAAACCACCAGTTACTCCCTTTACAAGCCACTTAGGTGGAGAATTAGTAGGGGAGTGTATGTTGGAGAGTAAAGGTCTCTCTCCTTGACCACTGGGATCACAGCAATAGAAGAGATCATAAAGTTTTTATGCTGTTTAAATGTATTCTGTTCTTTCTTTAGATAAAAAAAAAAATTCAGATCTCTAGCCAGGTTATGATTATTTTACCATGTCGCATATTATTAATTGAAGTAATTTTTTTTTGCTATGTTTATCTTCTTATTTGTGTCCTTTTTTGGATTTATTTAAACAATGTATTTCTCAAATTAGGTTTGCAGTCCTGGGAAGACATTGACAAACTAAATTCATTCCCCAAACTTGAAGAAGTGAGATTGTTAGGAATTCCTCTTCTGCAGCCATACACCACGGAGGAGCGAAGGAAGTTGGTGATAGCCAGGTCTGTCGTCCTGATGATTCTGCTCCCCTCCCCCTTGGGGGCCTGGTTGTCTCATTAAAGGAATGACACGCGGCTTAGGAGGGCGTGTGTTATAAATCGTTCTGACTCATGGACAGACTGTGCTCGAAGGAGCTGCTTTTATAGCTCGACGTACTAGACAGGAAGGGATACAGTGTGATGAGGGAAATGTGAAATGCAGTTGGCCTGCCCAGACCACTGCAAAATTCCCTCAAAATCTATTTTATTTTATACTTTTTGATACTTATAATAATCGAAGTTCTGTTTTAGGTCATAATAGGAAATGTTTTAGGTACAATAGGAAATCAGTTGTCCTTATTTTCATTAACACAGTGGTTATTTAAAATGTAAATACCTAAAAATAGGGTTGTTTCATTAATGTAAAACTTAAGAGAGCAGCATTTGTATTTTCTTATTATTATGTAGATCAGCACAGATGTGACTACTACATTGTAACCCTCCTCCTTTGGCTGCCATGCCTTCCTGCCTCAGACTCCCGCAGACTACTGCGGTGGCCCGGGGAGTTCGTGTTCACGTGTGCCTTCAGGGGTAGTGATGTTCAGCTAACATGTAAAGGGCCATGGAGGAACTTTGACCTGTCTTCTTTCTGTCCTATACACAGTAGGTTTGAAAGGGGAACAATAGGCTTTAAGGCTCTCGAAAGAAGAGTGGTCATTTAAACAGGGTGTTGTTGATCTTTCTGACCGACTAACACCTAGCAGATCTTTACTGCTTTCCAGTTGTTGGCACACACATTAATATCTCACCGAAGAAATAAGTTTCAGCATATTTTTCTTCTAAGAAGAAGATGTCTTCGTCTTAGACATCTTGCAGAAGTCTTGCAGTAGGTCTTGTATTTTCTTTTTTACATAGTTCTTTTGTAAATATAATGAATTAATGCCTGAAACATATAAGCCAATTATACTGACCCCTCCATAGCCTTATGCTGTGCCGTGCGGCGCCCTTGGCCCTGTGTGCTGGGGTCCCTGACGCATGGCTGGTCTGAGTGGAAATGCGCTCTGTGTATAAACTGTGCATTGGCTTTCAAACACTTCATATGAAAAAGAAAATGTAAAGTATCTCATTGGCTATTTTTTAGTATTGATTACAGGCTGAAATGATTATATCCTATATCTATTAGGTTAAATAAAATATTAAAATTAATTATATCCTTTTTTTTTAATATGGCTGCTAGAAAATTTAAAATTACATATGTAGCTTTCATTATGTCTAAGTTGGACACTGAAAAATGAGTTATGATGATGAAAGGTCGGTGTCTCAGATAAAAGTGAAACTAAATATTTTTGGTCCCTTTGTTTTATACCACTTTAGTTCTCAGTAGTTATATACAAGCAGAGGTGCATGAAATGTGTCCTTTCAAGAGAATAAGACTAGGCTTCAAACCCATAATTTTACTTCAAAACTAAATATTTTTAATATCCTAAAATGTCCTTATTTTGGTTTCTACTTACAGATTGCCATCAGTTTCCAAACTTAATGGCAGTGTTGTTACCGACAGTGAGCGAGAAGATTCTGAGAGATTTTTTATTCGTTACTATGTGGATGTTCCACAGGAAGAAGTACCATGCAGGTAAAAAATACTTCACTAGTTTAACAACACTTAAGCGAATATTCAGGCAATTTAAAAGCTATTTTCGTAGAGCAAAATGTAATAATTTGTTAGTGCACCCTCTTATTGGATATAGGTTAAGAAATAAAGATACGCAAAAACAAACCAATTTTATCTCATTTTCACAGCGTATTTCTTCTGCCTTGCACTGGGTAAGTATTTCACTGCTTCCAGTAGTTCCCACTCCATCTTCACGTCTTTGATCCCTTTTCATCCTCTTCTCCAGGGGGATAACTTCCCTGTGCTTCAAATTGGTCTCTTTTTTTCACATTGCATCTGCATTTAGGATATTCTGCAATTTGGAAGCTTTTGCAAATGTATGCTAGGTTTAGAGAATATGCAAAAAGGACTGGAAAACAGACTCCAGAAAATATAAAAGGAATTTAGTATGGTTGAGTACGAAGAGAAATGCTGAGGGCTAAGTTACTAATTACCCTTAAGTATAAGAAGAGTAAATTATATATTGTTAAGGGTTAATATATATTGTTTGGTGAGGAACTATCTTTAATACTGTCTAAATATAAAATGAAATGTGACGGGTGTGATACAGGTAAATATAAAAGAAAAAAAAAATTCCCATAACAGGTTTCTAGTACTGGTAACTATGCTCAGTCACCCAAATACTTATGTATTTTCCAAAACAACTTTAAGAATAATATGAGGTCCCATTTAACATAAGGAGTTTCAGACAAACAGGATACAGGTTAAGATTGAATGTGTCAAATCACTTGGTCCTTCTGGTTACAAATTTCTGTGATTCTAATTCATTCTTACTAAACATATTCATTTCCCCCCAACGTTCTCTATTATTTATTGACTTCATGGGGGTCAGCATTCTATAAGGTTCAACCAGTGCTGTATAAAAAGATTTTGTGGTATTTTTAGGGTCCAGTAGAATTTTAAAGCCTAAGCATTTTAAAACTATTAGACAAATTAAGTAAGGATTTAAAAGGTAACCTTTTAAAATGAGCTAAGAATAGCCAGGTAGAGAGAAATAGAGATTACCATGCTTTTTAATACAACTGAACTATCAAGCAAAATTGAGACAGACACATAGATAGAGAGCAGGCTGACAGCTGTCGGGAGTGGGGGCAGGGATTGAGGAAAAAAAAAAGAGGACAAAAAACTCATGGGCAAGGACAACAGTGTGGTGACTGCCAGGGACAGGGTGTGAGAGGAGGAGGAGGAGGGTATAGAGGGATAAATCTGGTAGATGAAGACTTAGGGTGAGGAACACACAATGCATTATACGGATGATGTGTTGTGGGATTGTGCACCTGAAACCTGTAAAATTTTGTTAACCAGTGTCACTCCAATAAATTCAATGAAAATGAGAAAGTAGAGGTAACCTTTTAAAATTAGCTAAGAATAGCCACATAGAAGTAGATATTACCATGTCTTTTAACACAACCCAGAAATACTAGGATAAACTGCATGAAATTTTTTTAGGTAAAGAATGGTCTAATATTTATAGCTTCATTTGATTCAAACTAACATTAATGAGAGAAGTAAATATTCTAGCTTTGAGCCAGAGCCTACCATTATAGTTTGCTTAACTGCCAGTCTGCTGCAAGAAGTGTGTGTGTGTGTGCGTGCGCGCGCGCACTGTAAATTGTTCTCTGATTCTGATGGCGTTAAGTGTCCCAAGAGGCATTTATGTCTCTGTACTAGTCGCTGTTCTTGAAAAAAGGTCATAGGAATCATCTTCAACTAGAGAAAGAATTTATTGGAAGGACACTGAGAAATTGAAAGGATTGTTAGGCAGGCTGAAAGACAAGGCTTAGATAGGAACTGAGGGAGGCAAGGATAGCCAAGGTTTCCTATGTGTTTCCTATGTCTCTGCTGGCACTGTCACATCTAAACACTACAATGCTGGACTTTACTACTGAACACTTGCAGCTGTGTCATGGATTTTGATTCACCTATAAGTCCTGAAAATAATCTCTCCTTGATCTTTGCTTCACTCTTTAAGGGTCAAAAATATACATCTGACCAAATGGTTGGCTATATTTAAGGCATGTGCTCATACTCTGTTTCCCAAGAGATGAGGAGAGAGATTATCTAATTCACTTTAGCTTCTGCAGTGAGATAGTCTTAGGACTTTTCCCCAAACAGAAACAATTCAACAAAAAGAACATCTACTATGGTCTGGCACTCTTGACTACTCAACATCTATACATACATCTTTTCCCCCCCAGTTATATTTTTAAAAATTATTCTTACCTGCTTTCATGTAGTCCTTGTACAAGGCATTTCACTGTCCCTGAAAGATTACCCATTTATTCTAATCCTAAGCACTCTGATTGATTAACTACTACAAAAGATACATGCAGTCAAGCAGTTTTAATTAACCACTCTGGAGATCCAAAATGGTGTCAGAGTAGGTGGGAGGTACCCTCACCTCCTCTCAGGACCAGACTGGAATTACAACTGAAACAGAACAATCAGCTTGAATAATGACTGAAGACTAGCTGAACAGAAGTCTCATAACCAAGGATTTACAGAAGAAGCCACATTGAGACTGGGAGGGAAGGGCGGAGCCCCCACATGCTATGGTTGAGAATTGGGAGGGCTGTCTCATCCACAAAGGTCCCCCTGAGGAGTGGCAGGTCTCAGCTCCACGTCACGCTTTCCAGCCAGGAAAACTGGTGCTGGGGAGGGGCATCCACGTAACATCTGGCTATGAAAGTCAATGGGAATTTTGTCTGCCCGGGTGAGATGGGAGTCTTCTAGGAACCCAGTCACCCTCTAAAAGGGTCCAGACCAAAAAATATTCATGGCCGCTTGCCCTGAGCTCCAGCAGAGGGAAGACAGCTCAGAGTAGATGGAGTCATACAGGGAGAGATTTGGTTGTGTGGCTTCGAGGAGGGGACTATAAGAGATAGTGGCCATTATCCCAATACTGAGTCCCGCTTCCATACAGCCCACAGATGCCTTCTTTCCTGGGTCAAGAGCTTTCCCCTCCATATGCTCAGTCTGGGTGGATACAATAGCCCCACCCTCCCAACCACCTGTGGCTCCTGCCCTGCCAAGCTTACAACCTGTAGAGGAGTTTGCTGGCTGTGGCCAGCCTAGGCCTGTGGTGCAGGCTTTCTTGGAAGGCTCTCGAGGAGGTTCATTTCCCCACCTACTCAGTGCCCACACCCCAACTGGCACTACCATTCCTGTGTAGAGCCCTTACTCCATAGAGCCAAATCTTAATCTGTTTTAGTTTGATCAACTCCACTGGCCTTACCCTGAAAATTCCCTGAGACCACAAAGGTTCAGAGGCTTCAGGCTGGTGACAACTGGCCTTAATGTACCTGGGAACTTTTGCTGAGTGGACTCAGATGCAGTACTGTTGACTGAATCTATATCAACCTGGTGAACATTACTCATTCCTTACCTGGTAGTTCACTGAGGACGTGCCTCACATAACTTGCATATTGCCTGTGGCTCCTTCAGTGACTAAGCCTAACAGATAGCCCATTGGTGGAGGTCTATCTCTGGGTACCTTGGGCCTTTTGCTGACCTGCCCCCAGCCTTGGTACTGATGGAGGCCAAAATTGGTATGGATCTTGGCTGCTCCCATGTGCCCTAGGCCCAGTGGAGGCAGCCACAGACTGGATTCGTAGCTCCAAACAGGTCACAGGCAGTGTCTGACATTGACGTGCACCAGAGTGCTTTCCAAGAGATCCCAGAACTAACACACCCAGTGGCTACCTCGAGACAACAGAGCACAACCCAATTAGCTTCTCAAGCTGAATACCAAAAGGGAGATCTGAGCAGGCACCAAACCCTGATGGGGTGAATTCCACTTAATGGGATCAGCTCTCACATAGCAACTTGTACACTGTGGTTGAGGTCAATCCTCACAGCCCACCTGAGAGTCAACCCCACCCATGGACAGGATGGGCCAACAGCAATCAAGACTCAACTACAAAAGGAGGGCTTATATAACCCACCCAAGGAACATTCCTGGAGCACCTAACTCAAGTGATCAGGGAGATGGCACCATTGAGCCCCACAGGATGCTTACTACATTAAGTCTACCCTTCCATGACTGGGAGATAATACACAGAAAGAAACACAAAGAGGCAGCCAAAATGGGGAGGGAAAAAACACGTCCCAAATGAAAGAATAGGAGAAATCCCCAGAAGACTAAATGAAATGGAAGCAAGCAATCTCCCAGATTCAAAACAGTGGTTAAAAGGATCCTCAAGGAACTTTGGGAAGAGTGGATGAACTAAGAGAACTTAAAGAGATCATAAACATAAAAGGACATAGAAACCATAAAAAAGAACACAATATCCAAAATGAAGGATACACTAGAAGGCATCAACATCAGATTAGATCACGTAGAGGATTGAATCAGCAATTTGGAAGACAAGGCAGCAGAAAACACCCAGTTGAAGAAGCAAAAAAGAAAAATGAGGGGGGACCTCTGGGACAACGTGAAGCATTAACAACATCCATATCATAGCGTTACCAGATGGAAAAGAGAGAGAGCATGACACCAAGAACTAATTTGAAGAAATAGTGACTAAAAACTTCTCTAACCTGGTAAAGGAAAAAGATACACAATCCAGGAAGCACAGAGTCCCACAAAAGATGAACCCAAAGAGGACCACACCAAGACACATCATAATTAAAGTGGCAAAGGATAAAGCCAAAAGGAGGATAACAAAAGCAGCATGAGTATGACAGTTATATACAGTGGACTCCCCATAAGACTGTCAGCTGGTTTCTCAACAGAAGCATTTCAGGCCAGAAGGGAGTGGCATGAAATATTCAAAGTGATTAAAAGCAAGGAATTACAACCAAGACTACTCTACAGAGCAAAGCTTTCATTTAAAATTGAAGGGGAAATGAAGAGCTTTCCAGACAAGAAAAAGCTAAAGCAGTTCATTAGCACCCAAATAATATTGCAAGAAATGTTAAAGGGAGTTATTTAAGAAGCAAAAAGGAATTTTTTTAAATGAAAAGAACATAATTATAAAGAATAAAATGACAATACATGAGTACATATCAATAATCACTTTCAATATAAATGGATTAAGTGCTCCAATCAAAAGACATAGGGCCTTGCTGTGGCCTTGCTGCCTATTGATGTAGCTGTGCCTACTTTCTCACTCACTAGTGGTTAGATACCACAGTTTGGTGTTTCTCTTCC